GGATGGACAGGTAAAAACGGGCAGCTCCCAGGGCATGGATGGACAGGCAAACGGACAGCTCCCAGGGGTGGGAGACAAGACAGGCTCAGGTTTGGGAATAACACTGGAGAGGCAGGATCAATTCCCAAGGAAATGACTGAAAGAGCTATTGGGACAGCTCCAGGGATGGGGGCCCTAGAGAACAGAAAGAATATAGCCCGGGAGGTTCAGTCCAACTCCCCTGCCCCAGCCCTTATTGTCCCTACCATGACGTAGTAATGCCGGAACAACTTGAGCTTTGCCAAGTTCACTGCCACTGAGAGAGGGGAGAGATGAAGGATGTCAGGGACCAGGGGGAGATGGGGGGCGGTAGATTTGGGTGGGGGGATGACTCTGGAACACAGAATGGTCACTCACCCTTCCCATCCGTGCCTGATGCCTCTTGGAGATGGCGGATGGACCTGCCATTTGGGTAGGTGGGGAAGGGAGAAAGCACAGGGTCAGTGTTGACTGTGGGTGGGGACAGGGCGTTCCCTGGACCATAGGGCTTCCAGCCACCCATCTAAAATCCCAGGATCAAAGGCTCTCAGCGATTTAGCTAGTCAAACCTCACTGCATGACGCATAGAGAACCAAAGCCCAAGGTCACACAAGTAAACAGCAGACCTGCCTCCATACTGGTGCTCTCTCCTATCTGCCATGCTGACCACAGCCCGGGGCACTCACCAGCACTGTCTCTAGGAAGCATCCCCCTACCTGACTTGTCAAATCATCCCTCCCTCTACCTGGGATCAGAGACCCAGAGCCAGAGGGGAAATCAGACATCATCTGAGCCCCTCATTTAACAGATGAGAAAATTGAATAGAGGCGGCCCGAAGAAGGAGGTGCCTTGCTCCACAGCCCATGGGAGAGCCTCAACGTCATGGCCAATGGGAGAGGCTCCAGTTCCAGAGGCCTGGGAGGCTAGCAGGAGAGGAAGGGGCCTAAAGGCCAGGTCCTCACCATACGACAGGGAAAAGGATGGCCCCGCAGCAGATGAGGTCAACCAGGAACAGAATCTCCTTCCACAGAGCATAATCGCTGGTCCCCTCCTCAGTGGACTCAATAATGATGTAGGCAACATTGGCCAGGACCTGGGCAGAGTTGGGTAGGGGTGAACCCTTGACCTCCCCTCACACTCTGGCATCTCCCCCCTCTGCCCCCAAGGTGGATCTGAGGGCAAAGCTGAAAGGGACCCGAGACACCCCCTTGTTTTGCAAAAGGAGGAAATTGTAGGAAGGGCTTGCTGGAGGTCCCAGAGCTATGAAGGAGCAGAGACAGGATCTGAACCCTAGGTCTCCAGCTCCAAGCCCAAGTGTTCCTCCACCTGGGGAGGAGAGGATCCATCCACTCTGGGGAAAGGGCCCCATCGAGGAGATCCAGGGTCAGGATGGGACAGGTACCTGCAGGGGGATGACAACCCCGAAAAGCTTCTTCTCCTTGTCAGACAGGACATACTTGACAAAGGCCCAGCCAGAGCCAATGAGAGCAATGGTGATGAAGAGGAGGGCGCCCTTCAGCCTGGGATGGAGAGAGGAGAGGTTGACAATTGGAAGACAGAATAAGTGGAATGTGAGAGCTCCTGTGCTCTGGCACAGAGAATGAGAAATAGCCTCCGCATCCCTCCCCTCTCCTCCCTTCCTTCCCTCCCCTTCCTTTCTCTTCCCTTCCCCTTTCCTTCCTTCCTCTCTTTTCCCTTCCTTCCCCTTCCCTCCCATCACTTCCCCTTTCCTTTCTCCTCCCCTTCCTTTCTTTCCCCTTCCCCTTTCCTTCCTTTCCCTCCCATCACTTCCCCTTTCCTTTGTCCTCTCTCCTCCCTTCCCTCTCCTCCCCTTCCTTTCTTTCCCCTTCCTCCTTCCTTTCCTCCCCTCCCTGGGTTCTAAGACTGAACAATCTTGACTGGGGGGAAGGGGGTAGACAGCCACCTCCCTCCACCCTGGGACCAGGGAAAGGCTTGGGCCCTCACTCACAGGTGGGTGATGTAGTCAGTGACGGCAAGGCCCTCGATGGGACGGCCCTGGCTGTTGATGAAGTAGTAGTTGATCTAGAGAAAGAGGCCCAGGCATGGGCAGATTGGGTGGGGGATGGGGAGGAGGCCAGGTGCCTGTGGCTATGGGGTGACAGTTCTGTGGAGGGTCAGGGTCTCCTATCTGAGGCTCCCAGGATGAACAATGCTAGCTGTCACCACATAAGGGCCATGAGCTCGGCCTTCCAAGGGTCTCTGGGAGAGCCTGGAGCCTCCCCTCCCATGGCCTAATTATCCCCTCTGCCCCTTCCCCACCTTGACCCAGCCGAGAGCTCACACTGTGAAAGAGGAGGGATGCACTCTTGGTGAAAGCCAGAGCCGCCATCAGCCAGTGGATCTTGAAGACGTTGTATCTAGGGGGAGGAGGAGGGCATGCTCAGAAGAAGGGGAGGCTGGAGGAACCCCCTGGGATCTGGGAGGGAGAGAAGTCAGAAGTCTGGGTCTGGGGAAGCACCAGGGACTAGGGGCTTTCAGAGTTGTGGAAGGGGGGTAGTGAGGGCTCCCAGCCTGGGGTAAGCAGGATTGTTACTTGTGCTTGCAGAGAACAGAAACCCATAAGGCTCCAGCCCCCAGGAAACAGGTCGACATGACCAGGTAGAGCTTGAAGAGGGGAATCTCGGTAGCAGACAGAAAGCCATCAGGGTTCTTCTCTTGGATCCTTATCTGGATGAAGAAATCAGGATAAGGGACAGGCCAGGCTTGGGGGCTCAGGTTCTGACCCTCTGCCTTCCCAAGGGAAGGAGCCTCACCGTGATGTCAAAGGGCCTTTCGTGGCCAGGGATGGCATTGTAGCAGTTGTGAAAGTTGAGGTTGTAAAGTCCTTCCTCAGCTGGGGAGCCAATCACCACGTGGAACTGAGGAGGAGAGAGGGCCTCTCAGCCTCCTGCCTCTGAGGGCCGCAGGAGCCCCTAGGCCTCCATCCCCTTTCCCAGAGGCCCAGGGCTAGTCTAGGCAAGCCACGAGGCTGCTGTGCTGGGGAGGGGCCGGGGGACCAGGAGGGTACTCACACTGAAGTTGTAGGAATCATTGTTGTAACCCAAGCTCAGGACCAGCCCCGGCTGCTTATGGCCCAGGTCCTACAGAAAAAGGAGCCCAGTGTCAGGCAGGTGAGGCCTCCATCTAGAATATTTCTTGTTTGAAGCAGCCCTTCCTGACTTATCTCCAGGATTCTTAATGCTGCCCCGTCCACTCCCCTCCCCCATCCTGTCAGTAACAGAAGGAATTACTTCATTCTTTGCACCTGGATCCCCACTGCCTTGTACATGGGCGCCTGGCACACAGTAGATGCTTAATAAATGCTTGCTGATTGGCCGAATAAGGCCCAGCTCAAACACTTTCCTCCAGGAGGTCTTCCTGGTCCCATCCCACCCCTTCTTTGCCCCTTGCCCCACCTGTCTTGTAGTGAGAAAGCTCTGGGTTTGGAGACAAAGGCTTCCAGGCCTGGGCCTATGGGATCCCTCTTCCCCTCTCTGAGTTTCGGTTTCCCCCTCTGTAAAATGGGGGTGCTAAACCTCATGCTATGGTGCTCTCACATGGCTGTGGGGAGGAACGAAGCTCAAAAACTCTAAACTGTGAGAGATGGCCCTCTCCCACTGTGTGTGACTCTCATCTCCTCCAACCAGCCTGGGCACTATGTCCAGTGCTCTGGCCGCTCCCCTGCAGTGGCCCACAGGGACCAGGGAGTGCTGGCTGCCTGATGCTCCCAGAATCCCCCTTACCTGGCTGCCTGAAGTCACTGGTGGAGATGCCGTATCCTGATTGGCTACACTGGCCCCTGCAAAGCAAGTAAAGGCCTGTCGACCAATGATGGCAAAGGTTTAGGGGTGGGGGTGGGGTAACGGGGTCAGACATACAGACAGGGCTCCCACTGGAACTCACCATTGTCTGGACTGGGCAGGGATACACCTTCCTGGAGAAGCCCTGGAGAAATCCGCAGTTTCTTTTGCTCCCCAAACCGACATACCTGGACCCTACAATCGGGAGAAGGGAATTAAGAACGCTGGGGTCTAGCTCTTCCCTTGACACAGGGTTATCTTGACCTGGCACTTCCTCCTTTCTGGGACTCACTTTCTCTATTTGTTAAATAGGAGCTGCCCTGGATAATTTCCAAGGTCCTTCTTGGCCACCCCACCCCCCCAACCCCACCAAATATCCAATCTTTGAACTTCTAGTTCCAAATATAATAAAACTCACTGTTTTCCCTTGAGGTCAATGAGGAATGTGGCCATCAGGGTGCTCCCATTGTGTTTGAGGGCACAGGTATGGGGTTCTGGGGCCTGGAAAGGGAGGAGAGAAGCAGGATGGGTAGGAAGCGAGAGACACACACACACACACACACACACACACACACACACACACACACACACACACACTCTCTCTCTCTCTCTCTCTCTCTCTCTCTCTCTCTCTCTCCCCCCCCCCCTTCCCTATCACTAGTCAGGGAGGGCTCTGGGGAGGAGGAAGACATGACAGAGACAGTGAGCGGCAGAGGCAAAGACAAACACCTGGAAGGGAGAAATACTGGCAAAGGGCCCCTTCCCCCAGTGATAATAATCAACTCATTTAGATGGCGGGAAAGAAACACTGGCAGGTTGTACATTAAATATAGAGAACTCAGACGCTCCCCTGGCCTGGGCCACCCCTCCTCAGACCATCAGACAGAGACTCACCGAATAGGATCTAATACTGCCCGTTCGAGCTCGGGATAGGCTAAAGCCCACCTAGAGTAAAAAGAAAAGAGCCTCCTTTGGGGACCCCAGAGGGGATGCTTCCCTCCAAGAGCCTCCCAGATTTAGGTCCCTCCCTCCTCTTTCCTTCAAATCCAGCTTCATCCGGCCCTTCTTTCTGATGTAAGCAGGGTACCTTCCACCCCCAGCTCCGAGGCCCTGGAGCCTCTCTGGGCTCCAGGCTTTCTCCTCCCCAAAAGTCTCTGTTCTCACCAACTGGGACTGCTCTTCCTGGCTCCCCAGACGGAGCCGAAGCAGGCTGAGTTCCACTTCCAAGGAGCCATTGGTGAAGAAGCCAAAGCTGTTCAGCTGGATGTCAGCCCGTTTTTCCCCCTAAGAGAGAGCCCGACTGTCCAGCCACCAGAGGGACGGTGGCCAGAGCCAAGAGTACCCCAAAGGCTCAATATATGTCCCCTGATACAAACCTCCCTCTCATCTGATGGACCCAATCTCAGAACAAATTCTTTTATTAAGGGGATTTGCTCTGTGAAGTTTGAATTCAGTCAAAGGGCTGCTACCTGAGGACCTGGAGGGGTTCCCCACCCCTGTCCTAGACCAACACCTAGAACCAGAATTGAATGGGTACTCTTCACAGGGGCAGAGAGGAAAGAAGGGAGGGCAGACTGGGCTAGACCACTGGACACTTGGGGCCCAAACACAGGCCAAAGGTCCCAATTCAATCAACTCCACAAGAACAGCCTTCCCTCATCTTGCCTTCCTGGGTTCACACCTTGTATATCGGTTCGAACTTCCTTCCAGGGGGCCCGGTGAGGCGCTGTTTACTGGGTCGAGGATGACCACAGCAAACACCAGATTCCCTTTCCTCAACCCACCCTTCCCCCTAGTTCTCTCCCTCCCTCAACTCAGAACTAACACAATGCAAATACGCTGGGCTTTCCCATCCAGAGAGCCATGTAGAGATATCCATCCAAGACTTCTATGCATTAGGTAGGAGATTGGACTAGCTCAGGAGTTCTTAAACCCTGACATGGACCCTCTTTGGCTTTCAGGACCCCTTCTCAAGATCATGATTTTAAATGCATAAAATAAAATACAAAGGCTTACAAAAGAAACCAATTTATTGAAATAATTATCAAAATATTTAGGAAAACAAGTTTACAAACTCCAAGTTAAGAACCCCTGGTGGATCAACCCAAGGATCTCATTCCATCCCACTCTACCCTGCCCCCTCCAACTAAGCGCTATGAGATAATATCAGCAGCACACATTTCTAGGGCTTTTAGTGCAGTGGATGGCCCGAAGTGGACATACGAAGACCTTCCCACCTCTTACAAGCGCTAGCTATGAGACATCGCGGGTAAGACGCAACATTTCTGTGTCCTCAGGCACACATCTCTAAACCAAGGACTGGGGGGTATCTGCATCTAGGGCGGGAATTTCCCCCCGGGGTTGCTTAGAATGAGGATGAAATCTCGAGCCCCGACGCCTCCCCCACCCCCCAAGGAAAGATCACAAAGTTCCTTTCTTCTTCATCACAGCCCGGCATGTCACTGTGCCTATTTTACAGATGAGGCAACCCCCAGAAAGGGAAAGAGGTTGGCTCAAAGTGCCACGACTAGAAAGCCCTAGATCACTGACTCCTTCACTGAGGGTGGTCTTATCCATCCCCACTAAGCAGAGTAATTCGTGTTTTGTATGCTAGGGGTGGGGGGAGGTGAGGACGGTACACGCACGAGGGAGGAGGAGCCAAAAGGAGGAAACAACCCCACCCGGGGAAAACCAGGAAATTGGCGGGGGAAACGAGGAGCTGGGAAGAGGAGGAGGAAGGCGGACGGTCCCATCTGGGCGGGAAAGGGGTCGACCTCGGGGGTTCTGGACAGACGAATCCATTAGGACAGGAGGTGGGGGGGGATGGCGAGGGGGTGGGGGAGCTGGACCGCTCCACTGGGAGAAAAGGAGGGGGGTTGGAGGAGTCCACTAGACTCGGGGGAGGCCCCAGGAAAATCTTCACCCCCACAGCTCCCTGCATCGCCCACGACCTCACCGTCAGCACCAGCTGGTGGATCCTTCCCGAGCAGCCGTCCAGCAGCAGCAGTCCCAACAGCAGCGGTAGCGGTAGCGGCAGCGGCGGCAGCACCCGCTCTGCTCGGGTCCCACCGCCGAGCCCCCTCCTCCGGTCCTCGGCCATCGCTGGAGCCGCCACCGCCTCCGACAACGCCCCCGGCACTCTACGATCCGCCCCCAACGCAGCCAATCGCAGCGCGCGAGGGCAAACCCTGCTTCCTAGGGGTGATGAAAGAGCCAATTCGCATCCAGGATCTCTACAACTTGGCACCTGACGGACAGCAACCAAAGCAAATCGAAGAGCTGAACACGCTCATCCGACCCCTTAGTTCTGCCCAATAGGAGGCGAGATTCCATCGGGTGTGCCTGACAGATAAGCGGATGAGCCAATTGCAATGTGTCCGATTCGGTAGGGTACGGAAGAAATCCCCGATCACTCCAACTGACAGAAAGAGCCAGGACTACAATTCCCAGAATGCAGCATCTCAGATGACAGTACCCGAGAAAGACTTGGGAGGTGATGAGACTACATTTCCCATAATGCACAGGGAGGCAAACCAGGTGGCGCATGTAGGAATGTTTATTCCTTCCTTCGGTTTGGGGACCGAGGTTGAGGTCCAGGCACACCCAGCCCTGTGGGCCTGATCTGGCTTGGGCCCTCGCCTTCCCGTAGTCCCTCTTCGTCCCCAGTTCTAACTGTTAGGGCTGGTAAGTGGGCGCCTCAGGGAGCATCTCCTAGTCTCTCATTTTGCAGAGAGGTTAAGTGTCACAAGGGTCTCCAAGGTCACACAGCTGATAATAGACAGAATTTAGGAGCGTTGTAAAGTTTGCAAAGCACCTTACAAATGTTATCTCCTACCATCCCGACGACTGGTGCTGTTATTATTACTATATTACAGATGAGGAAATAGAAGTAAAGTGACTTGTCCAGGGTCACAAAGCTAGTAAGTATTTGAGGCAGAATTAAACCATTTTCGGCAGTCCTTGGCACTTAGTAGGTACTTAATACATGCTTATTGAATTGCACTGATTTCCGGGTCCTGAGCTCCACTCACTGTGCCATCTAGCAGCTTATTAAGCAGAAACAGGATTTGAACCCAGGTCTAGCCAATAACTAGGAGAAAGAGAATTTGAACCTACCTCATCTAATTTCAAGGGGCAGTGGGTAGAGTGCTAGGCCTGGAGGTAGGAAGACTCATCTTCTTGAGTTCAAATCTGGCCTCCGACACTTACTAGCAGTGTTGTTACTTAACCTGTTTGCCTCAGTTTCCTCATCTGTAAAATGAACTGGAGAAGGAAACGGCAAACCACTGCAGTATCTTTGCCAAGAAAACCCCAAAATGGGGTCCCAAAGAATCAGACACAACTGAAACAACCAAACAACAACAACATCTGATTTCAAACCAAATATAGTTTATCATTCTCTCATCATCTTCCCATCCCCTCGTTCCCCCCGACTCCCCATAGAACACTGGAGTAACTAAAAAGGGATTCCCTCTGAAACACGGTTGACAAGAAAGGTTTTCTAGCCTTTGCTTGAAGACTTCTCTGGTGGAGGAAGCTGCTGCCTCCCAAGTCCTGGCCTTGCCTTCCAGGCTTAAGGATTTTTCTAGAATTTGGATGTTACAGCAAATTTGTAAGGAATTATGCTGCTGCTGCTAAATCACCGAAGGTGTGAATCTATTTGGAGACTGTTGGACTGGTAAAGATGAAAAGGCTTTTAAAGACTTAGTCAATGGCCTTACATGGGCTGCAGTGTTGGACTGGGCAGATTTGTGCAAACCCTCTGTCCTGCATACAGATGCTATCCTGGATGTCTTTAGTACAATCCTGTGCCGAGACAGGGAGAGGACTTGACAGTGAGACTCTGTCCCATGCATAAACTGAGTTGTTGGCTTTGAAGGAGGCTGCCACGGATAGTCCGTGTGTATGGAGCTAAATTTCAAGTATGGTTAGACAGCAATCCTCTGACCCCAAATTTTGCTTTATAATTTGTTTTATATTTAATTATTTTTTTTTTTGGAGAGGCAATTGGGGTTAAGTGACTTGCCCAGGGTCACGCAATTAGTAAGTGTCAAATATTTGAGGTCGGATTTGAACTCAGTTCCTCTTGACTCCAAGGCCAGAGCTCTATCCACTTTGCCACCTAGCTGCCACTAATTTTTTTTTTTGTTACATTTTAAGTTCCAAACTGTCTCCCTCCATCCTCCCCACTCTAAACTAGAGAAGGCCACTATTTGACATATACACACATATGTGTGTATATGTTTGTGTATGAATAAAACTATACTATGCATACTTCTATTTATCAGTTCTTTCTTTGGAGGCAAATAGTATCTTCTTTCATGGGTCCTGTGGAGTTGATTTGAGTGTTTATACTACTCATATACTACATTCAGTTATTCTTCAAACAATATTGCTGTTACAACATTCTCTTGGTTCTGCTCATTTCACTCTTCATTATTTCATGCAAATCTTTCCATGTTTTTCTAAAATTAACCAGCTTATCATTTCTCACTGCACAGCAGGATTCCATGTTTCAGAATTTTCTTAAATTCTTAACAAACACCAAATAGGATGGACATTTTCATTTAAATAGTAAAACCAAAAGAGGATTGTACATGGAAGTGTATCTCTTATGTATAATATAGCTTTCTTAAAAATATATATAGCATATGATCACATACGTGTATATGTTTACATATAGCATATTATCATCATTTATCATATATCATGTCATGCATCTATCATATTATCATAAGTTTAGCATGCGATTTTCAAAGCTGCCCTTCTTGTCTGTGATTCTTTTTGACTTTCTTTCTCTTCTGTGCCTCTCTGACTTATATTTTGACCAGTACCAAGTTGGACGCTGCCTGCCAGAGATAGGTAGCAGCACTAATTGACAAGAATTTGGCCTGTGCTGTCCCCTGGGCAAGAACATGAATATAGATGTTCTCTTGCAGAGGTCAGAGGCCACTGAGGTTGTGGTGATGTCCAGGAAAGGGGTGAAGACTGTTTGGGATGCCCGGAGAGTTGGCTGCTGTCCAACAGGAATATTGGGATCTCTACCCAGTAGTTTTGCAGCAGTATGTCTTAACAACCTTGGTCCGCTGAACACTTCTCTGGCAGGCAGCTTCCGTGTTGGTAGTGGTCAAACTATAGGTCGGTGAGTTGTCATCCGTCCCTTCTTGAAAATTTAACTTGTTCCTTTTTCTCCCGAGATGACTAGTGCCTGAAACAAGTGGATGATGAAGGTTTGCAGAAGTGATAGACACCAAGAAACTGAGATTTGAATCTAATGGCCTCAAGTGCCATCCCTTACTATTGAGGCCACGTCAGAAGTGGCATTAACTTATCCCATGTCTGGTACCAAGAAGTAGTTGGTGCTTTCCAAGGCATATTGATCTATGGATACAAACACATTATATGGTGACTTCAGACATTTGGGTCAAGAGAGAACCCCTGAGCTAGGAAGAAATTGTTTTTACTGTTCCCAGACAGTAGATGTTATTAAGAAATGTGAAGCCTATGTTTGATGTATAAGAAGAAAAGTACTACAGATTTATGCTGCCTAGTTGGAAAGTGCAAATAACAGAAAACCTTTGAAACTCATTGGTTTTGGGTTTATCAAACACTATGCAATTCTTTGATTCCTTTTGTATGTTGTATACTTAATTAGTTTGACTGAATAATCTATCAATCTATCAGTTTTTTAACCAGTACCAAATTATATTGATTATTGCTTGAAGTATATAGTTTGAGAAAAGGTGCTGCTGGACTGTCTTCTTCTCTGCTATATTTCTCTCTCTCTCTCTTTTTATTTTAATAAGTTTTTGCTCAGTGGATAGAGCACTGGAGTCAAGAGGACCTGAGTTCAAATTTGGCTTCAGACACTTGACACTTACCAACTGTGTGACCCTGGGCAAGTCACTTAACCCTGATTGTCTAAGCAAAAACAAAAATAAAATAAATTTTTATTGCTATCTTTCTGTTTCTTGCATCACCATAGTATCCCATGTATCCTTCACTTTTCCCTTCCCAGAGAGCCATCCCCTATGGCAGACAATATTCTTTTAGAGAGGGAAAAAAATCACCACAACTGATCAATACATTGGAAAAGTCTGAAATAATGTGCAGTGTGACACACCTGTGGACCTCCAACCTTCATAAAGGGGTATGTTGGGGGTGTCTTCTCATATCTCTTCATTTGAGGCCCACTTGGTCTTTATAATTTTGTTACATTTACTTTGGATATTTTGGTGTCTTGTGACAATCTTCCGGCTTTAGGGAGTCCCTCTTGGGAAGACAGAGGTTTCTTTTGATCGTTGCTGTCTAGGGCCAGGGTCACTAGAACACAAGCCCCTACCAGAGGTGTAATTGTCAGAAGGGAAAGTCCCTGTTCCAGGTCCAAGTTTATATCTAAAGAAAGGCCCATGGGCCAGCTATAGACATTAGGGAAAAGAGGTCCCTTAATGGGTTTGGTTGCTGGCAATATGTCATAGCAATGGGGGCCACTTTGATACTGAAGTTTTATTGATAAATAATAAGGAAGAGTGGGAGAGGAGGGAGAAGGGGATCCAATATGCAAGTCAGATGTGTACATATTAACACAATAAAACTCTCATAAGTGTGGCACTGCATTGGGGAGCACAGGGTCATGGGTCCATTCAAGTGGTGCATTTAGGTGGAAAGGCTTAGTCCCATGGGAGCACCAAACTCCCAGGGAGGGGAGATATACTCCGAAGTACCCTTGTAAGAGTGGGATCCTTAAACCTTGATGTTGCTAGCCACCTGGAGCTGGCCTATTTTCATGTTGAGGTTCAGGGTAAGGACATTTTGAGGTATATAAGTGGGTAAAACAAACTGGTAATTGGCAAGTCTATTATTTTTGGACACACAGATGTATTAACCTTAAAATATTACTGTCAATATTTTTCCATGACCTAACCTTATAGCAATGGTTTCTATGCATAGAGTTTATGAACTAGCCTCTCTTAAGAGGGGACTGTCATGGCAGTCTCAAGGCCACTAGGCCTTATCTTACAACATTTGGTATGTCATTGTTCTTTCTACCTACGTTGTCTTCACTGTGTATATTGTTTTCTTGACACTGCTTACTTCACTCAGCATCAGTTCATATAG